TTTTTTTTTTTTTTTGAGGGGGAAGTGGCTCAAAGACTTCGAAGCTTTTAATCTTCCCATAATCATGTCTTATTTATACCTGCCTCGATATTCTACAGATGGAGCAACTTTGGTCAAAAGGACACAGTAATTGAGTTCTGCCTTCCAGAACTTGCTGAGCTAAATGCAGGTTACAGCGACTGGCCCCGGGCTATCTTGGGTTTGCCCGGCACGGTGCCTTGTTTGGTGTGGTGAGCGTGTCGTTCCTTAGCTGATGGCACGGCCCTATAATCTTACTGGTGCTCTACATTGCTTTCTGACTCCGGCCTAGGGCATGGTGGGTCATAGAGGATTTTCAAAGACCGAAGCATATCTGTTTTCTCCAGTCCGTTTGTAACTCTGCCTCACTGGAAAGAAAAGGCCCAGTTAGGAATGCTCACTCCCACCGAGGTCGTCGTTTCTGGACGTCGTCCATGTGTGTCACATCTGAGGCCACCTGCCTTCAAATAACTGAATGTCCTGACATTTTTCTTCTTTTGGGATCACAGGTCCACACGTTCCGAGGCCCGCACTGGTGTGAATACTGTGCCAACTTCATGTGGGGGCTCATCGCCCAAGGGGTTCGGTGCTCAGGTAAACAGGGAACTTCCTTCATCCTTTTCCATGTATATAAAGGGTCGTTATGTTGAGCTGGAGATCATTTCTCCAGAGTTGGGAAACAGACTCAGGTTAGCTCGAAAGTCTAGCTTTCTGGAAGGTTCAAGGCATCTCTCTGCTTAATGGAGAGACTGTTCTAGGTGTCTGCTGGAATGAGAAGGAACATCTCATGTTTATGTAAGAAAAGAAAAAGATCCAAGCAAGTCCATTTTCTTATGCACTTACCTGCCACCCAAAATAGGCAGTAGTCCTTAAGTAGTCCAATTCCAATGGAATTGCAAGGTAGAAAAACCACATTTCCTTCCCATCCCCACTTTGCTACAAAAGGCAGGGCATAAAAATAGAAATGCTAGTGTAAACATTTACCACTTACCAGGCATTGAGCTAAGCACTTTCTGCTTATCATGCCCTGCAGCCTCACCAAAAGACCTTAAGGAGTTGCAATTATTCTCCCCATTGAATAGATAAAGACACTGAGGCTCAGAGGTATGTGTTAACTGCTCTCGGCCACATAGGAAGTGGCGGAAAATGGATTCAGCTCCAGAACCCACGCTCAGTATTTTTCTGTTATCAGATTAGCAGTGCAACTAAAGAGCTTGATTGGACAGCACGTATGTTCAAAGCACTCTGAAATCCTCGGTATTTTTCCACCTAGAACTGGACACACACGCCCAGTGCTGACACGTAGCTAGCGTATAGCAAGTCTTACTACAATACGGCTAACAAAAGAGCAAAGAATTGCCAAAGTAATGTGTAAGTGGGTCTCCTAATTCGTCTCGCCACACTTTTTCTGGCAAGCAGTTCTGCCAGGAGTGAGAATAGCCTCTTGTGGTATTCTGATTGGGTTTACCAACACCATGACTGATTTCTTCCTTGCTAGGGCATGAGTTTTAAAAATAAGTCTTGGGGCGCCTGGGTGACACAGTCGGTTAAGCGTCCGACTTCAGCCAGGTCACGATCTCGCTGTCCGGGAGTTCGAGCCCCGCGTCGGGCTCTGGGCTGATGGCTCGGAGCCTGGAGCCTGTTTCCGATTCTGTGTCTCCCTCTCTCTCTCTGCCCCTCCCCCGTTCATGCTCTGTCTCTCTCTGTCCCAAAAATAAATAAACGTTGAAAAAAAAATTTTTTTTAAATAAATAAATAAATAAATAAATAAATAAATAAATAAAAATAAAAATAAGTCTTATGGGGCATTTAAAATAACATATGCTAATGACACTATACTTCGCCATCCTGCCCATTTTGGTTCACAGGACTGTGGGACCTTCCATCCTTTCTCTCCTTTGCTTCTACTGTGTAGATACGACAGTCATTGGTAGTGGCACCTGGATGGTTCAGGTCGTGTTTGTGTAGGTGGTTTAACGCTACCTGCCCCCATCAGAGATCCATGCAAGCAGCAAACAGGCTCAGAGGCAGCCTCTCCAGAAACGTTCCAGATACCCCACTTCATACAAAAGTCTTACTGGGAGTTACGGAGCATCTCACGGCTCAACCACTGAGCAAAGTGGTGGAATATCTAATTTACTCAGTGGTCATCAATTCAGGCTGTCCAGATTATACCTACCAGAAATATCCTAATTGCTGGTATTATCCAATTTGAGCAGCAAAATCCGTCCAAAGTCAGTATTACAAGAACACAACTCTGGAATTTGGAGTAGCTGTGAATTGCAACTTTCTCTGGGATAAAAGTGTTTTTTTTTTTTTTTTTCTGTTCTTTTTTTTTTTTTTAATAAAACATATTCTGAGGTTAAAATGTTAATATTCGCCAGTGGCCACTATTTGGCCTTGTATTTCCACTGAGCTGCAGGAAAACTCAAAACTGTCCATTAAAGGTTAGGAATAGCCATCACTGCCTCTCAACTCTCTGTATTTTACATGTTTTAAACGTTTTTTAAACGAACTAGACCTTATTTATAGCATCTGGAATTGTAGTCGTTTGCAAATACTGAATATTTTTATATGTTATAAAACATCTTAATTTTAATAAAGTCTCCATATTTAACTCTACAGAAACACACTGTTGCTTCAGATCTTAAAAAGAAGTTGATAAGGAAATTACACATAGGATTATCATAATCCAGCAATTCCCCCTCTGGGTCTATATACCCCACAGAACTGAAAGCAAGCATTCAAACTGATATTTGTACACCTGTTTTTATAAGTGCATTATTTACAATAGCCAAAAGGTAGAAGCAACCCAAATGTCCATCAAGAGATAAACCAAACGTGGTGTGTCAAGACAATGGGAGAGTATCCAGCCTTAAAAAGGAAGGGACTCCTGTCTTATCCTGTAATATTAATAAACCTGAAGGACATCATGCTAAGTGAAAGAAGCAGATCACAAAAGGACAAATGCTAAGGATTCCACTTATATGGGGCATCAACAGTAGTCAAATTCAGGAGCACCTCAGTGGCTCAGTCAGTTAAGCATCCGACTGTGGATTTCAGCTCGGGTCATAATCTCACAGTTTGTGGGATTGAGCCCCTCGTCGAACATTATGTTAACAGAGCAGAGACTGCTTGGGACACTCTCTCTCTCTCTCTCTCTCTGTCCCTCCACCCCGCCTCTCAAAATAAATAAAATCAACTTGAAAAAAAAGATAGTCAAATTCATGGAAATAGAATGTGGTGCCAGGGGCCAGGTGGAGGAGGGTCTGAGAGTTAGTGTTTCATGAGTACAGAGCTTCAGTTTTGGAAGATGGAAGTTCTGGAGATGGGGAGTGGTGACAGCTGCACACAGTGTGAAGGTACTTAATGCCCCTAAACTGTACACTTAGAAATGGTTAAATGGTGAATTTATGTTACGTATATTTTATCACAATGTTTGGACATTGTTTTCTTTTTTTTTTTTTAATTTTTTTTTAACGTTTATTTACTTTTGAGACAGATAGAGGCAGAGCATGAACAGGGGAGGGGCAGAGAGAGAGAGGGAGACACAGAATCCGAAACAGGCTCCAGGCTCCGAGCTGTCAGCACAGAGCCCGACGCAGGGCTCGAACTCACGGACCGTGAGATCATGACCTGAGCCGAAGTCAGACGCTTAACCGACCGAGCCACCCAGGCGCCCCTGGACATTGTTTTCGATGAAATTTATAAGAACATAGCAAAACTTACTAGTGAAATAATAAGAGCTGGCCAGGTAGCCTTGTATTTTCTCTAACACTTGCCATTTCTTTTATTTAATTCACATGTAGCGTTCACCACACTTTAGAGTTTACACAGATTAATTTAGGTGCTTCTAATGATAATCCTAGGAGTGGGTGCTATTATTATCCTTATTTTATAGAAGGGGAGCCAAACAAGAAAACAAACCAATTCTGTTTGGTTCCATTTGCTCAAATTTACATCCAACTAAATAGATCTGTCAAAATATTATTGAAGTTTACTTGAGCTTTGATGAATTTCTCATGCTGATAAAGCTAAGATGATTAAGAACTGGTTTTTTTCTTTGGAAGGAATGTAGATAGAACTCAGCCTAAAAATTACATGAAAATCATGTAATGCTTTTCGAAAATCATTTTTTGATGATTTTATCAAAGTTCAGATTTTCTCAAATCCTTGGTGTGGTTAAGTGCTTTTTTTGTTGTTAAACAGCTGATTATAACATTCATTATTATGTATGTGTATAACATATATGTGCTTTGACTAGACAGCACATCAACTTTGAACAACTTCAGCGTTAGATTTTTATTTTCCAGAATGTAGACTGTGTCTTGTTAGAGAAATTCTGTCAGTGGATACCAACTGCTAACAAAGCTTTTAATGTGTTCATTGAACTTAAAAGTACCTTTTCAGCTTTGGATCTTGATATGAGCTTTATAAATAATTACTCTAATCATCACATTACATGGCATTGTTCTAAATTGTAAACTCTCAAGTACTCCCACCGGTATCTAGTTAGACATTATTTCTACTCACAGATGTCAAAATAAGGTAAGTAGAAAGAAAAATGGCCTACCCAAACTCCCAAGAAGGGGAAGGTACTAAAAGCTATGGGCAACTCTCCAGGAAAGGGGAAGAAGTTGCCAATGGCCATGGGTCCACAGACCAAAGATCAGAGATTCCTTCAGAGAGAGTAATCATGTCTTCCACAAAAGGAGCATCCAGAACTTTAGGAAAACAACCTAGCACAAGTCCTAGGTGCCCTTTATGAGCCAAGACGAGCTCTGGGAATTCAAACCCAGAAGTCCACACATGGACCCAAAGGTTCCAGCCCCAAAAAAGAAAAAAAAAAAAAAAAAAAAAAAAAAAACCACACACACACAAACAACCTAGCTAATCACCAAAACTAAAGAATCTCAGCGAAATGTTCTATTCTGATGGTCCAGCAACAGAAAGGCTAAATGAGAAAAATGGAATTCTCTAAGAGTTTTGTGAGTAAAGGTGGATTTCATACTCATGTTGTAGAGAATATCACCTCCAAATGGGATGGGCGTTCCAGAAAAATACAGCAAACCCTTGGGTGTTTTCATTTTTATTTTTGGTAACATATAATTTGTGTCAGGCTTTTACAAAAGGGCCAGGCAGGGCTAATGTGGCTTCTTTGTTTACAGACTGTGGATTGAACGTACACAAACAGTGTTCCAAGCACGTTCCCAATGACTGTCAACCTGATCTCAAGAGGATCAAGAAGGTGTACTGTTGTGACCTCACAACACTCGTAAAGGCTCACAACACTCAGAGGCCCATGGTGGTGGACATATGCATACGGGAAATCGAAGCAAGAGGTTTGGAAAAAATTCCTTGTTATGTGATTTTGTTTTTACTGTTTGTTTTTACTGTTGTCAAGGAAACCTTCTTATAGTTGTTAAATTGACTCTCTCTCCACTATTGAGAGAGCGTGTTGGGGAAATGGCCTACCCCAGCACACACGCACACAAATAAGCCAAATCCAGCCAACCACATCAGTGCTGTTTTGTACCCAAACCTTGTATATGTGCATTCAACATGTTTGCTAAGCCATTTGTTATGTACTACACATTGATATAAAAGTCACAGTTCTCACCTTCTGGAAACTGACACTGTAGTATGCAGATCAGAGGGGTAGGGGCGCCTGGGGGGCTCAGTCCGTTGAGTGTCTGACTTCGGCTCAGGTCATGGTCTCATGGGTCATGAGTTCAAGCCCCGCATCGGGCTCTGTGCTGACAGCTCAGAGCCTGGAGCCTGCTTCGGATTCTGTGTCTCCCTCTCTCTTCGCCCCTCCCCACTCACACTCTGTTTCTCTCTCTTTCTCAAAAATAAATGTTAAAAAAAAAAAAAAAAGAATCAGAGGAGTAAATAAATCAATGTTGCAGGTGTGTGTATTCAAAACACCATGTAGTCTCAGAAGACATTTCAGTGTTATTTGAGGACAGTCCAGAAAGGGTTTATGACAGAGGTGAAGTCTGAATGGAGTCTTCAAAAGTGACCCCATTAAATAGGTAAAGAAACTGTTGATCAACACATACGTTTCTTACCATATAGAAATTCACCGCTCGTATTGCTTCTGTTTATTTTTTTTAATTTTTTTTTCAACGTTTTTTATTTATTTTGGGGACAGAGAGAGACAGAGCATGAACGGGGGAGGGGCAGAGAGAGAGGGAGACACAGAATCGGAAACAGGCTCCAGGCTCTGAGCCATCAGCCCAGAGCCCGACGCGGGGCTCGAACCCACGGACCGCGAGATCGTGACCTGGCTGAAGTCAGACGCTTAACCGACTGCGCCACCCAGGCGCCCCTTCTGTTTATTTTAAAGAGCAGAGTGAAAAGATTAAAAAGATCTATGATCTAAAAAGATCACTCGAGTGAAAACTCAAGAAGGCAGAGAAGATAGAAACATTTCCGTGAAAAGGTTTTTCATAGTATGATTGAGTCCTATTTTCCTTTATTTGTGCTTTGTTGGGCTACTCTGCAGTTACCAAAACTTCAGTGATATGGTGGATAAAGTCTGGTTGGGGAGAATTTGGACTGCTGGGTGTAACGTGGATAGTTGGACCAGGTATAAAGCCCAGAGGCTTTAACCATTTTTGCCATGTAGGGGCTCTGCTATCGTTGGGATCCGTTATTGTGTCCAAACTGGCTTAATGTAATCTACAGATATTTATGCATTGGCCAACTATCCCATTCTTTCCCAAACAAAACAAAACAAAACAAAAGAGGACATTATAGATTGTTCTCCCAAGCCTTTTAGAGAGAGGAAATCATTCCCTTTTCCACGCAGGATGAAAACTATAGCTACTCTGTTCCCTTAAGACTAGCTCATTTAATCTCACATTGTTACGAAATGGCTCCTGCCTTTGACTGCTCTAGCTGTCAGAGTTCACTGGGTGCTTTGGGACCTGGTGAAGGTATTGCTGCAGGGGCTGATCTGGATAAGAGTTGAGAAGGGGGTGCCCTGACTCTGGATGAGTAGCTGGGAAAAGCATCCCTGGGTCCTGTTGTTCAGAGGGCTCTGCAAGTTGGGGTCAGAGCACCAGCCTCTCTGGAGCCCGGACTCAGGACCTCAGCTTCTCTGGAGAAGGAGGTATCATCCCGTAGTGATCCTCGTCAGAGGCGACTGATAACACGGGCAGAGTTACCGCCGTGTCTGATGTCTGAGGTGTCTGTGGGGAGCACAGCACTAAGCATGCCTCGTACAAGAGTTACAATAGCACAGATTAGGACTGGGGAGCCACAGCAAAGGAATTGGAGCCGCAGGCATTGGCATCCTGCACGTGTGAACAGAACCAGAGAACGGGCTGGAAGAAATTCACATGACTCCCATCCCCCGCTTTGCTACCACCTCTGCCAAAGTCTCATCTCATGCCCCACCCATAGCAAATTCCGTATTGCAAATGCTCTTTCGGGGCCGTTTGTTTCTGCGTGATGTGGCCAAACAAGAAGGCCACGTGTCATCGCCTGTGTCACGTGCAGATTACAACCACAGTGAGGCATGCTAACCTGTACCGCCAACTAGAACACGATGACTCCAGTTCTCTCTCATCTTGTGGACCAACCCAGTTAATCAGTGTGGCAACCTGGGCAACCGTACTGAGTCAAGTTCTGAGACTGAGTGGGGTTCGGTGGGAGGCGGAGCTGAGGTCAGTGAAGAAGGTCTCTGACAGTCCGGGGAGAAGGACCGGCAGGGTACATGTCATGCATTTGTTGTCTCTGATGCAGACCTGATACAGACCCTTATATATGGCAGAGAGCATATACTTGATAAATATTTCCCAAATGAAGAACAGGAAAGTACATACTCATACGCAGCGAAAGTTCCTGTTATCAAGAGCTTGACAGAGTATGTTGCAACAACTGTAGAAGCTATTTGTTCGTTTATTTTTGCTGTAGTTATGGTTTGATAGCAGCTGGTTTCTTACATGCAAGGTCTGAGATCTGGCCCCCCCTCCCTTTGGATACTTTGGGGACCTGGCTGGGCCTTAGAACATATCTTAACAAATCAGTAAGATCTAGGAGCAGAAACCACATCTTTTTCTTAGCCCAAATATACAGTGATCAAGTTTCCAGAATCATCACTCAAATTTTATTTTTCGGCATCTGTGCGTATGATCCTTTATTTGAAGGTAGAACGATGAAATCGATTATATTTAGTTAAACATTGAACATATGATATTTACGATTAAACACAAAAGGCTATAAAATTTAGACCGTTTGAATAAAATCAGGGTAATATATATCACACAGAGGTGCCCGTGGATGTATGTATACCTAGCACAGCACTGCACGCAGTATGGCACATGGGTTAAGATGATGCTGGGGAGACAGTGGGTTGCCGCCTGAAGCAGTGAAATCAAATCCACAAGTCTGATGAACAAAGGAAGCACCAAGGTTGATGAGAATCTGAAACAGGGGTTCACTTTGTGAAGCCAGGCAGGAAGAAGACCAGATCCCTGGGAGGTTTCCACTGCAGCGCAAGCAAACGAAGACAGAGTTGCCTGGAAACTGAGACGGGCAGGTCCGGCGACAGCATCGTTCAGTGTGACGGTGTGTAATATACAAGGGCACTGACTGTATTTTTCTCATTTATAGCACACGGTGTATATATGAAATTAGAGTCCTCTGTAGATGCTTCAGGAAGTTAAAGTCTCTCTGTTTCCTTTTCCCCCCCAGGATTGAAGTCGGAAGGTCTTTACAGAGTCTCTGGGTTCACCGAACACATTGAAGATGTCAAAATGGCATTTGACAGAGGTGGGCTTTGCCTTTCTTGAACGCCAAATGACGCATCCTTAGCTCCTTTTCTTTCGGAACCACATTTTATTCAGGGTGGGAATGGGTTTCAGAGCTACGGAGAGTTGTTGCTCAAGAAACCAAGGAGTAGTCATTTACAGATCACATAGTTCTCTGCCTTGCTGGGGGAAGGGTTTCCTTAAAAGTTGTGGACTGGCGATCCCACGAGTTCAAAATCTTTCTTGAATGGGCAGCCAGCATTTGGTGCCATTATGGCTCTTGATTTGATGTCCAGCATTCACAGACAGTCCACATGGCACCAGGCTGTCCTTCTACATCCCCAGCTAAGGATCTCAGTGGCTCTTCTCTTTCTCCCAAAACTCCAAAGAACAGAGCATAGGGATGCGGATGTGCCCAACACTGAAATAGGGGAAGCCAGTGGAAGTTTAGGAGGTAACCCCTTTTGTTGTTTATAACTGTGACAAATGTTCTCTAGGCCACATTCTCTCTTAGGTCGGAGAACTTGGGAGCTTGTTAAAAGTACGGATCGCCACGGTCCACCCTGGGGACGCACTGAGAAAGCTAGGTGAACCCATGAATCTATATTATTAATTTTTATTCATTCTATTGAAACAGACAACAACAAAAAACCGTTCACCCATTTTTCCCACCCCTCACTGCTCGTCTCCTCCAGTCACCAATCTGTTCTCCGTATCTATGAGCTTAGTTTTGATTTGGTTTGGTTTATATCCCGCGTATGAGAGAGACTGTAGGGTGTCTCTTTCTCTGTCTTATTTCACACAGCCTAATCCCCTCAGGGTCCATCTGCATTGCCACAAATGGCAAGATTTCATTCTTTTTTTATGGCTGAATACTATTCCTTTTACTGTAAACCACATCTGCTTTATCTGTTCATCCATCAGCGGACACTCAGGTTGCTTCCATGTCTGGGCTTTTGTGAGCAATGTTGCAGGCCACGTGGGGGTGCACGTTTCTTTCTGAATTACGTTTTCATTCTACATTTCTACCGAACAGTCCAAATGATTGTAGTCAAGCCAGTCAACGGCTGGAACCCCTAGCCTACCAGAGAGAACCTTCTCTCTGTAGAACAGACAAGGTCTCTGATGATCCGGCTGCCATATCTGTTCAGGCTCATGGCCCGTTGCTCCTCCCCGTATACTTTATGCCCCAGCAATACTGAAGTGCACCTGTTTTCACGAACAACTGCCTTGGCTCACGTGGTTCTGTCCATCTAGAATGCGTTCGCACCTCTGCCTGGCAAACGCTTACCTATTAATCAGGTGTCAGCTCAAGGGTTTCCTCTTCCATGAATCCTCCCTGAGTACCCCATGCTGACCTAAGAGTCTGACTGCCCTTTCCTGGGCCCCACCCACCCCCATGTTTTCACATGCCTCCAGCCGAGCAAGCTTCCCACTTCCTTGTAACTACTGAGTTGCATGCCTGACTCCCACTCCAACTTCGACCTACAGAAAGGGAATATGTGTCTTTTTCTCTTTGACTCCCCAGGGCCTAACAGTGCCTAGCACATGGCAGATTCTCAGTAGATATTTGTTAAATCTGTAAATAATGGGATCAGGTGACCTATCTGCTATACTCCCTGTTTCCTGTTCCTTAGCAGCTTTTTTTTATCCTCAGAACCAAATGTGATGAGACACTTGTTCTTTCGGTTCTCTAAGTAAAAGAAAATGCTAATCATCTCAAAATGATTGTAACTTTAAGTCAAAAAGTGTCTTCAGAATGACTGTCAGAGGGGCACTTGGGTGGCACAGTCAGTTGAGCGTCTGACTCTTCCCTCCCCAGCTTGCACGCACTCGCTCAAAAAAAAAAAAAAAAAAAAAAAAAAAAAAAAGATTGCAAAAAAGATTAAAATGTAACACTACCTATACATGAAGGAAGGTCAGAGTTTCCCAGATTAAAGTCCTAGGGGCAGAGGAGACAGAACCAAGAAAGAAGAAACGTCACAAGCCTGAAAGAGACAATCAAAACTGAAGATATTCAACTCTTCCTGTTGTGTCTGTGATCTTCAAACCCAAATCCAAAGAATCCTGGTGCAGCTATATAAAAGCTTCTTGATTTTTTTTAAATTATTATTTCAGATTAGATTGCTATTCCGTTATGAACTTTTGTGTCTGGAATATTAATTACTATGTTAAATTTCTTTTTAGCAAATTACCAGAGGCTGGGTCCAAAGAACGACTTTCAGTCAATTTTACTACCCTTGGCTACACTTAGGCTCAGACCCAAAATCGCTCTTCCCAAACTTCTGTTACTTCCTGCATGTCAGTGTTCTTAGAAGCGAGAGTAGTCAGCTGGACTTGTACGGGCACGTTGCATCCACGTTGGATCGTTTCTTTCTTTGTGGGCATGCGTTAACTTGGCAAAATAGGTCCTAATTAGGAATTGGATCGTTGATTGTTTTTCAGACGGTGAAAAGGCAGATATATCTGCCAACATCTATCCAGACATAAACATCATCACTGGAGCCCTTAAACTGTACTTCAGAGACTTACCCATTCCTGTTATCACCTATGACACCTATCCCAAATTTATCGAAGCAGCGAGTAAGTATCGAGAGCTAATCTTTTATTCGTATCAAACCGTTAAGTATCATGCTTTTCACTTCGAGAAAATCGAGACTCGGAACTCTTTAAATTACTGCCCGAGCACCTGCTCTGCCAAGCGAGGGCACAATGGTACAGTTAATAGAAAACCAGGCATGGGGCGCCTGGGTGGCTCAGTCGGTTGAGCGTCCGACTTCGGCTCAGATCACGATCTTGGGGTCCATGAGTTCGAGCCCCGCGTCGGGCTCTGGGCTAGTGGCTCAGAGCCTGGAGCCTGCTTCCGATTCTGTGTCTCCCTCTCTCTCTGCCCCTCCCCCGTTCATGCTCTGTCTGTCTCTGTCTCAAAAATAAATAAATGTTAAAAAAAATTTTTTTTAAAAAGACAACCAGGCATAGTTCACCAGCTGAGTTGAACCTGTACGAAGCCAGCCACTCAGCTGAGAAATGGTGCCAGGCAGTTGTCTCTCCACACCATCGTCACTTCTCTCCTGGGTACCCGCACAGTCAGGGGCTGTTCTATGTTGAAAGCAAGAATGTTCCGGTAGTAAAAAATCCAGTGTTCTTCAGTGAGGACTGTACGGATTAGCTACGTTCATCCGTGAAGCAGACCCCCACTGCTAATTGATTGAAGTCATGCCCCCAGTTTGAACCGCTGGTGTTGTTCGAAACTGATCATACACCGAGAACCTACTGTGTCAAGTATCGTGCCGGGACCTCTCGATAATAGCCTCTAGTTTAAGCTTCTCATCCACCCGATGAGGCGCACACTTCATAATCCCATTTCACAGAGCAGGAAAGCTAGGCTCAGAGAGCTGAGGTCACGGGGCCAGGGAAAGAACACCATTGTCCTTGGTCTCCCTTCAACCCACGGTTGCTCATGTAGCGTGTGGCACGCCAGTTGACTGGTGTCAGGAGAGAGGACCATTCTGGGGGGAGGAGGGGTGCTGCCCTCTGCCCGGCAACATAGTGAGGAAGGGGAGGTGCAGATGCTACAATGAGTGACATAGAACCCAAACACACCGTGAGGAATTGCTCATAAAAACTGTAACATTTAAAGGTAAGTATAATAATAAGATGCCTGACGGGCACAAAAGTGAGCAGGCTGGGATTAGTGCAAGATGTCCTTTCCTGGGGAGTTATGGCCCTCTTTCCTGGTAGGAGCATTCTCCTACCCAGGAGAATTCTCCACACTTACCCAGGAGCATGGGTCCTGGTGGTCCTAGGTGGAGAAGGTTCTGGCAACAGAGTGCCCTCTGCCCCTGGAGGAACGGCAGGGGAACGTTTCTTTGAATGGCTGCCAGTACCTATTCGAAAGCAGAAGCATGCACGTTTCCTCCCTTTGCTGATGGACCTAGTATCTACTTCCTCACCTGGACTGTCCAGCGGGGTTAGCCACGCCAGCGCTTGGGTGAAAAGTGCCATTGGTGCAGGCTGAGCCGGCGGGCTCATCGGCCAGCGCCCTTGTGTTGTAGAGTGTATTCAGTTATGGAAGCCTGCCAGGAAGACACTGTCAGACAACCTCAAGAGAACACTACCACGGGCAATCCGGCTTAAATCAAAGCTCGTGACAGCAAGCTGTCTCGTAAACCCAGCTTTCAGAGGACGGGCAAAGCGCCGTTCCTGCCACCACGAAACATGTACCCGACTGCAGACTCCAGGTCCGGCCTCCTGTCCCCCACCCAGTGCACACTGAATACAGGTGTGGTTCCCAACCTCCAGGCCTTTCTGGAATAAGGCAAGACACCAACGAGTCACTTAGTTTAAGTGAAATGTTACCTGAAATTGCATGAACTTCTTAGACTTCCCCTCCATCTCCAACCAGAACAAACCAGTCTTCTGGTTACTTCTCTGAAAACGCGAATGTCTCAGCACTGCACTAACACCTCACTTGGGCCGTTACAGAAATCTCCAATGCAGACGAGAGGCTGGAAGCCGTCCATGAAGTGCTGATGCTGCTGCCTCCCGCCCACTATGAGACCCTCCGGTACCTGATGATCCACCTCAAGAAGTAAGCCAACACCCCCTCGGCACATCCTCCACAACCCCTATCTGCCTGGGATGGTGAATGCATTAGCAAGGGTTCATAACCTTTCTCCCCAACCCACTGAGGGGACGGACCCTCTTTTGGCGGGGGGGGGTGGGGAGGGTCTAGTGAAGGCAGCCCCATCTGTAACTGCTAGAACCCTCACTCTGTGCCTGGAAGTGCTCTACACACTTTACATGTGTTATCTCTGTGAGGTGGGGGTTGTTAGGGGCCTCAGGTTACAGATGAGATTGTGGACGCTTAAGGGGGTAAAATAACCGATGTGAAGAGGTAACGTGAAACCGGAATGAAATCCAGGCAGGCTGATCCAGAGCCCACAGTCTGCCTTAGCCATTTGTCCACACTGCGTCCACATCTGCACGGGGCCTCCCACACCAGCCCTATCCTCTGCGTTCTGTTCTTTCTCTTTCGGCTCATTCTAGTTCCGGACTCCTGAACTGCCTTGCTTCTGGGCAAGCCCATTCCCACCCTGACCCCTTGTTTTTCTTGATGTATTAGTGACCGATCCCCAAGTAACCAATCGCCCCAAAAGTTGTAGGCTTAAAACAATAGAGATTTATTATCTCACAGCCGCTGTGATCAGGAATCAGGTGTGGCTTAGTTGGGTGCCTCTGGTTCAAGGTCTAGAATGAGGCTATGGTTGAACTGATGGCCAGGCTCTCTAGGGGAGCATCCACTTCCACACTCACAAGGTTGTCGGCTGGATTCAGTTCCTCAGAGGCCGTGTGACTGGAGCCCTTTCTTGCTGTTTGCCGGGGGACCCCCTCAGTGCCCTGCCACGTGAGTCTTCCCATGGGCAGCTCACAAAATGGCAGCTGGCTTCCCTCAGAGCAAGCAAGAGCCCCCAACATGAAAGATACAGTCTCTCTGTAACCTAATCTCAGAAGTGACATTCAATTGCTATTTGTTGGAAGCCACTAGGTCCAGCCCATACTCCAGGGGAAGGGATTAGACAAGAGTATGAATTCCAGGAGGCAGGGATCATGGGCAGGGGGCCATCACAGAGGGTATGCACCACAGACAGCTAGGCACTGCATTATCTGTGTGACAGCACATAAGACAGATGGAGATGTCTGGGTATTTACAGGACACTAGAGCTCTGGTTCCAGACTCTTTTACTTCAACTGTGAGGCTCTTTCCTTCACTGTACGTATATAGCAAGGTCAGTGAGTTGGTCTCTGAGATGTTGGAGGGATCAGGGCATTTCTGTGTGCCGTCCTGTGTGTTTTCGGAAGACCCGTGGCAGTGGCTCATTCACAGATAAAATGAACCACAAATTGTCTACGCTAATTTACAGATCCGTTCAGTAAGTGAAAGGAAGCAAGTTGAGAATACTGTATAAACACTGGGTGGTGTTTTTATTTTTCTACCTTATAAAACATATAAATATTGTTGCTCAGATGCATGGTGATCAGAGATGTAATAACATTTAGCTCAGAAGGTTTCTGTTTTGAGTAATTTATCAGAGTATGAGTAATTTTTGGATAAGTAAGACTGTGAAGGCCAGCCTGGTCTTTAATTAGCTAGAAATTATTTCTTTAGAAAGAAATTAGTTCTAATTGTTGTAGTTTGGAAGGCAAAGTATCATTATCAGGAAAAATGCTGATCTGTCCCCTTTGAATCTTTAATGCCAATAATTTAGTACTTTTATCATGGAGGGTTTGCTAACCATCTTGTTTGGCCAGGCATGGTGCCTGACTTCATGGGAAGATGTGAGCAATTTGATAGTGAAGAATGTTCCTCTTTCCTACCTCCTTAGCTTTGTAACATGAAAGTCATACAAGCTGAGTTGGCCTTCCTAAAATGATGCTAAGTGGCCGACCTCATTAGCTCCAAGAGAATAAAAATAAACGCATGGCCTTCTGCGCAGAACCTAAACAGGGTTTAATAGTATTGTGCCTTCTTTCGAGAACCTATTCTCTTTTAGTTCCATTATGAACATCCCAAAACCTCAATTCCTTAAAGGAAGAATCCAGGAGACTGTAATTTTATTCTACTAGGAAGACAGCGAGCCAACTCTGGAGTTTGAATTTTATTCTGAAAGGCTTTGCTGTTCTCATCTGGATGTTGAAATGACGATTTTCAATTCCAACAATAATTACTGCTCCAGACCTCATCCTGTGGGAACCAGAAATAATGTCCAAGTGCTTTCCTGTCTGGCCACATTCCAGCCTTTCCCCTATCCCGTGATAATGGTCTGGCTATTTCTACACTCATGGCAGCCCCATCCTACAGTAACCTTGCTCCTCCGACACTAAGCCTGCCAGCAGGCCAGGAATCTGCCATCAGCTTCCCTGATCATGAGCATACAGACCAGTAGGAAGCAGCTACAGGGGGGAAAAAGACTTCCACACAAGCCTAGACTAAAATCTGCATGCACTGTGGGCCAGCTAGAAATCGGCTGCCCCTTCTAACCAATATTCCCTACTCCGTTGCCACATCTGTTTAGTAAGGAGGACTGATTTTCTAATTTTAAAGATGTGTCTGTACCAGATTCGCTAAGTAATTCACGTCCACCGGCTGCAGGCAACGCCAGCAACGTAGAAAGAAAAGCAAAAGCAGAAAATTACCTTTCTGAAAACACTTTTCTAGAACTCTGATTCTCAGTTTCCTTTCACAACTTCCCAAAGCAGAGACGTTTCTGAGGGCGTATGTGCACAATCAGCATACACAGCCGTCTGCAAGTCTGTGTAACGTCTCTGTGTATATGCTCGTTCCGCAGGGTGACTTTGAATGAAAAGGACAATTTCATGAATGCTGAAAATCTGGGGATCGTGTTTGGGCCCACCCTGATGAGGTCCCCTGAGGACAGCACCCTCACCACCCTCCAGGACATGCGGTACCAAAAGCTGATTGTGCAGATTTTAATAGAAAATGAAGATGTTTTGTTTTAATCCACCGGGGAAATGAGCTGAATGGCCCCGGCCCCATCTAAGTTGATAAGGCTAAAGGAATAAAAGCATTTCTTACGCTTGATTTGTTTTCCAAACAAGTGGCAGAATTTCCTGGACCGCAGCGGGTTGTCAAGTCGGCTCCTGTGTCTCATAGACACTCGCCTCGTCCATGTGAGAAGAGCAGGGGTGAGAGTGACCAAGGCCCTTGTCTTGGGTCTTTGCCGTGCCTCCTACGTACATCTGTTTTGCTGGAAGAGTGATTAATAAATCTTTAACTTATTAAAAAACAACAACGTAGACCTTTAAGCTTCAGTCTTATCAGTAATAAAAGGGAATTTAATTCATAGAGGTACTTGATAGTTATACGTTTTCCACTTACAAAAAGAAGACAATTCTATGTTAAATGTTAAATGAGACTTCTATTGTAAAATGTATTTTTATTTTAGCTGCGAGAATGTTACTTTATTTCAGCAAATAGAACTCAATGCAGTGCATTGATTATGACCCTGTGTACTTTGTCCCGCTTCTTGCTGTGATCCCTGAAAACGTTTACCATGAATGCAGTATTATCTTGACATACCTCTGTCCTTATCAGTGCTTTGCAATGGAAGTTCACCGGCCACCTGTGTCCCTGCTTCTGATAGTTTTTGCTGTTAAGCACACTGGCAGCTTGCTGTCGTATGGTATACGTTTATAGCAATTGTAGGATGGCCTGACACATCCACGCATCTTCTTTCCATAACAATGTTGTGGAATCCCAGAGTATGTTTTGGCATTGGCTGTAGTCTTTCCATATCGTGTGTGAATATCCCAGAATATGCAGAATGTGGTCATTTTACATAAAATGATTTGGAAACACTGGTTGAATCTGGGCCATGTAAAAAAGTGAGCACTTTCCCTGTTTTCAGGCCAGCATTCTGACTTCATCGATTAATGGCAAATTGTATTTTTGTCACACTTCTGTATTTATGAAAAGTGAATCTGCAGAATAATTGTTGATTTTTTTTTTCGTTTTTGTTTTATAAACAAGACTATTTTTAAAAGTAAGAATGAGTAAGTTGGGTTTTTACAAATATTCCTCCTTGATAAGAGTAGCTGTGTATGGATCATAATTTAATATGACTTTATTACTATAGCTCCATCTTATTGGTGATATTTATCTTAGCATGGGCTTTTCACGGCAAGATTTCTATATTTTGTAACATAGGTAAAATATTGGAAGCATCAAAACCTGTAAATCTAATTTTTTTCCCTGCCATCCAACTACAGCGTCTTTTCCTCTGATTGAGCTGATCCACGTACTTACTCGGTAGTCTGGTTTTGGAGTGACCGGAAGAGAATTACTGTGTGAGAAGTGAGCCGGAAAGAGGAGGGCGGTGCAGCTGTTGTCCTGCATGGGCTCTGTTGGCACACGGCGGGGTCAGAATGGTTCTGCTGGGTCCCTGCTCTATTGTTCCTCCCAACTGTACAGATTTGTTTGTTGTAGCTTCTGTACTTCTGGATACTGTCAAAAGATTATCTGAAAATGGTTTTATTTTGTGAAGTGAATACTACTTTGTAATTTATGATAGCGTAAATGGAAGGAAAAGCATTAAATGTATTCAATTCTTCTGTCTATCGTTTCGGAGTGTGCGAAGAAAACTGGTGTTGGGGAGCGGCAGGGTCCAGTAGGAGGGAGAATGTCTAAAACACCGTTCCCGGATGGGTTTTGGCGACAGTTTCTGTCGTCACCAAAACATGGGGAGGAAACAGACACGTCCCACTGAGTCCCCACCCTGTTGCTCACCCCTTTTCCAGTGTCCACTCTGGAGGGCCTGCTTGGGATTCTAATGCTCCGCCTTCACTGTCCCTAAGACCTGTTGCATTTATGTTTTTCATTAAAAGATGTAGGGTTTATGGGCGCCTGGGTGGCTCAGTCGGTTGAGCGTCCTACTTCGGCTCAGGTCATGATCTCACAGTTCGTGGGTTCCAGCTCCGCATCAGGCTCTGTGCTGACAGCTTAGCCTGGAGCCTGCTTCAGATTCTGTCTCTCCTTCTCTCTCTGCCCCTCCCCCGCTCACGCTTTGTCTCACTGTGTTTCTCAAAAATAAATAAATGTAAAAAAAAAAATTAAAAAAAAAAAAAGATGTAGGGTTTAGAGCAAATCCCCCCTACGTCATCCTCAGGAGAACAGGACAAGAGTTTCTGAGCCAGAAAGACCTGAGTTTGAATCCCAGATCTGTCTGTTCTCAGCTGCATGTGACCTTGGGAATGCGTTTGCTCATCTGAAAAACTGGGCAAAATGTTCTGGCTGTGACATCTTAGATGAAATGACCTAAAGCCATTAGTAACAGTTATTTCTTAGTATTATCATTATTAAGAGTGATGACTTCACAGGGAAAGAGCTATAACCTAGGGTGGGAAGGCAGAAGCAGGAGAAGAAAAGGGTTTGTCCCAGGTTAAATCCAAGTTCGAGTAGTAATAAGGGATATTATAACAGGGCTCTATACTATGTAATGAGGGTCACCTGACTCCTTTTCTTGACTGTGATTACAACACCCGATCCCCTCTCCCTTGCTTTAGTCTGAAGCTTGCTCGCCCACATTTATCTCCCCCACCATCTGGCAGACTGGCATGGCTCCTCTTACCCGGCTTGAAATTCCTGCCATTAGAATAACTCTAGTAGTGATCACCTGAGAAGAGGCAGCACTGTTTCCAGAAACCCACTGCTGTCTACAAGTGGGTTGTGGGAGGTCCAACAGGGGCAGAGTGGGTGGAAGAAGATAGTTCTCAGGAGGGGAGAAGACCCCTTTTCTTTCTCCCATTAACATAAATGGGCACCTGGTCTCCAGAACTGGGAGGGGGCCGGTGCTGAATTTCAAGGATAGCAGTCTGGAGGGCAGAGACGGAGGAGAGGACAGCATAGGGCAGTCGCATACCACACAGTTCAAGCATTGCCTAGGCTGTCCTGATTCCTACTAAAAACCCAACTCTGGTTTTAAAAATGTTCATTAATTTTCAACAAATATTTATCAAGCATTTATTAATGGGCCAGACACTGCAAATACCTGGAGGCAGGGAAGAGGCTTATCTCACTGGAAGAATTAAATAAGTTTAGTCTGGCTAGAGAGAGAAAGCTGGTCATGTTGAAGATTTGGTACTCTGACCTCAGGGAAATTGGTGCCACTCATTTTTTTTTGAATAAACAATTTTGGAATAGTTTTACATTTACAGAAAAGTTGCAGAGGTACTACAGAGAGTGCCTGTGTACTCCTGACCCACTTTCTCCTAATGTTAACGTCTTATGTAACCACCGTCCATTAATCAAAACTAAGAAACCGACACTGGCACATTACTATTAACTCCAGACTTTATTCAGATTTCATGGGTTTTCCACCAATATCCTTTTCCTGTCCTGGGATATGGTCCAGAGCGCCCCACTGCATTGGCATTAATGGGTTGTAAGGGACAGAATCTAGTTTACATTTTTAAAAGATCACTTACCTGACCGTGGATCCATCGGAGAACACGTGGGCAGACTGGGGTAGTGAAGGTTGATGTCGTTAGATGCTCTCCTTGTCATGCAGGACTGCGGTGATGTAGCCTGCATCGGTGGTAGAAAGGCAGAGACAGCTAGAATAGTCATGTTGAGGAGGCAGAGTTGAAAAGGTTTGGTTATAGGTTGGATTAAAGAATCGAGGATGATTCTCGGGGGGCTGAATTTGACAACCGGACAGGATTTACAGAAAAGAGCACAGAGGAGCTGGAGGTCTACAGGAGGGGTGGGGAAAGAATAGGGAAGATGGTGAGGTCTACTTTGGACATGGTGAAATAGAGATCACTGTGAAATTTCCAAGCAGAGATGTTTCACTGGCAATGACAGGGACAGATCCCAGCTAGAGACACGGATCTGGGAGGTAACAACTGAAACCGTGGGAGTGAATGAAAGTACTCAAGGATACAGAACAGAGAAATAGGTGACAGTCCCCATTCAGAGTTCTGTGGAGCACCAACATTCAGGAAAGAGAGGAGCAGGCAAGTGAAGTCTGTTTTAATGTAGTAAAATAAAGAGGGTCTCCGAGTGCAGTTCAGAAAGACTCTCTCCCTTGTATTCAGGTTTGTTCCACAATGTCCTAATGCATTTCTTTGTCCCACTTAGATTTTTTTGCTACACGCAAGGTACCACATTCAACCCTGTGCATTGGAGGAGTTGCTTAGTTATTCTGTAAATGCAAATAAGCTGGCGTCATTTTGCTTTTCTAAGTTGAGTTGAAAAGATGTTGTCATACTCACAGACCTCCTTCACTGCCTTCCTGCAGTTTGTACAAAGTGCTCATCCAGCAGGCATCACAAAATACCTCGACTGTGTGTTATGTCTGTCTCCATTGAAATACAAACTCCCTGAGATCGGGAGTCGAGGATCCCACTTAGCCAATCAGGCACCCTCCTGCACAGCCTGCAAGGCTCCACGCAGGCTCCCCTGGCTGAGACCTCCCCTAGCTTCCCCAGACAGAGAAAAGAGCAGATACCAGCCATAAATATGTGGAAGCACAGGAAGTTTAGAGAACTGCAGATTTGGATTTAACCAGAACACAAAGTGTGAAGGAAGAGGAGGGGAGTGAGATTAAACAAGCAGGACTGTGCCAGGAAACAAGGAACCTTGTAAGCCAAGCATAAGCCAAACTCAGAAAAGTCTGTCTAGGGACACAAGAAAGACCAGAAGACATTAAGACTAGGAATATGGGAGCTAATCAGGAAACAGAGGCATTGCCCGTGTGGCTTGGCTCCCCAGAGGAGGGATGGAGAAGAGTCAGGGATAGGAGAGAGATTTAAGAGGTTGTTAGGACCCACTGATTTGATGCCAGAATTGAAAGGAAGGAAAGCGTCACAAATGTTACCCTCCATGTCTGGTTTTTGCAACTAAATGAATATTTAAGGAAGATACGAGAATATGAGAAAGGGAGCAGGTTCGGCAGGGGAAAATCATGGGCTCAGTTTGCAGGATGCACTATGATGCTAAT